CTAAAATTTTAGTTTAAAAAAAAAAAAAAACCCCCCCCCTTTTTTTTTTTTTTTTTTTTTTGCAGAGCATGTGGTTTACTTATCTATCAGACTTCCACCACCTGGATTTCTTACCCACAATTCTTAGATTTGGGAAGGAAAGAATTTGATCTCTTTGTACGGTTTCCCTTCCCTAACTTGCCTTCTTCAGTGTGCCTAGAAGGAGGCCCAAGTCACAGAGTAAAGTCTGTGTACAGGTAGGGACTGGAGAGGGGAGAAAGTCGGAAGCTCAAATACACTTGGCTTCTATGTGTGTGTGTGTGTCCGCGCACGTTCCTGCCCTTTGATTTTTTTTTCCTTTCCTTAAAATTTGCCAGAGGGCATGTATGCTAGGGAGAGACAGAGAGAGAAAGTGAGGAAGCACCTCCTGTGGGGGATGGTCACACTGCTATCCCTTCCCTCTTTCTCCTTTCTTTTGAGATTTTGGGCATGCACACGGGTGTACCAGGAATGATTCTGAAGCTGCAGGGTCTAGGACTCAATCTCTCCACTGGCCATGTTGGATCCAGCAGCCTGAACTATCATGTCACTGGCTGGCTCTTTGCCCTTTGGTTTCTTTCTGTCTTGATTTTCTCAGAAAGAAAAGGAATACATTTCAGAAGAAAAAATAAACGTATGAAATTCTTCCTTTTCTTACAATTCTCCCACCAACCTATTGTTTTTAATGTTAAAAATTCCTGACAGGGACCAGCAGTTGGTATAATGGCTATGTTGCTGAACTCCCCTGTAGTCAACCGTGGTTCGAGTCCCGGACCCAGTGGCGTAGACTCATGCTGGGAGCATGTCTGTGCATGCCCAAGATCCCGAGAGGAGAATGGAGGAGAAGGGATTGTGGTGTGGCCGTCCCCCTGCGGGGGAGATTTCTCACTTTCTGTCTCTCTGTCTCTCTCTGTCTTTCTGGCAAGCACACTCCCCCTATAGAAAAAAGCTCTCCAAAAAAAAAAAAAAAAATACTTACAAATATTAAGCACTCAATAAATTTATAATAAAAATTTATTTTTTAAGAGTTTTGTTTTGTTTTGTTTTTCCTATAGGGCACATGTGCTTGCCAGAGAGAGACAGGAAGTGAGAAATCACCACCTTCATCAGAGGGGATAACCATGCTGCAATACCACAACACCTTCTTCTCATTCTTCTCTCAGGATTTTGGGCATTCATGCACACATGCCCGGCACAAGTTTTAAGCAGCCGGGTCAGGGATTCGAACTGTGGTCGACTACATGAGAGTCCAGCAATGTAACCATTACACCATCTGCTGATCCTCTCATAAAAATTTATTTTTTTTAAGTTGAGAAGCAAGGCAGATGGAATAAAAAGAATCTAATTAACAAAGGTTCTTAGAACTTTGGCATTTAAAACAATTTTATTTCTTCCATGAGAGAGGGAGACAAAGAGATAGGTGGGGATAAAAAACAAAGTCTTCATACCACTTTCACTGTAGTCTCTGCTTGCCTAGCTCACAGGTTTGTACTACGTATGGAAAGACTTCAGGATCTGAACCTGGAACCTTCCCATATGGCCTCAGAAGAATAGTGATGCATTACCACTGTGCTGCCATGGCTGACCAACTTTAGCATTTTTTTTTTTTTTTGAGAGTTAGGATTATGAATTTTATTCTACTCTCCACCCCCATTAGTGGATGATGGCTTTAAACATTGTATAAAAATAAAAAGCATCTTTATCTTGATTTCTTTGTGGCTCCAGAAAGAGTGATATAAAAGAATGAACTACAATTGATTAGAAAATAACAACAGCAACCTGAAATATGCTTACGGTAACTCCCATAAGATACTGTGAGAAGTCATGGGGACTAGTGGAGAGAGGGAAAATGATATGTGGACATGAAGCTGGAAGGAAAGCGGAGGAGATGAAGAAGAGAGAAAAGTCAGAGGGTCTAGGGAGAGAAAGAAACAGGAGAAATGGACACTGGGTGGGAGAAAGAAGGAAAAGAGAAGTGAGGGGAAGTGAAGTGATCATGAAAAGGGGAGCGAGCACATGGAGTGTGAAGCGTAGGAGACCATTTGTTTTATACTTAGGGATTCATTTCTGTAGTGGGTTTTGCAGTGTTGTCACCTCATCATATTTCCTCAAAATTCTCATTAACCACTGTTTATAGCTGTTTAACTGCTGCTTACCTTTGGATTTTGAAGGGCTTGACTCATAATGGGATAGATAATCGTAGTAGCCCATCATGAGGAAATAATTATTCTCTTGGCATATCATCTCTGGCAAAGATCTGGGCCCTGAGCAAGGGGTTTCCATGTTCCTGCTTAAGGAGTTGGAGGTTTACTGTGATTGCCTTCCTTCAAGAGCAGGATTTGATTTTTTTTTTCCCACTTAAGAAGCTATCACATCTTATAATTAGGTAAGCATCACATTTTCTCTTACTTGTTTGCGTTTTTGAAGAGTCATCTTGCTTGGTGTGGTATTTATTATCTTCTAGAGAGAACTGTTCTTAAGTCATGGGAAAGCAGTCCTGGACACCTGCTTTAGAAAACTCCACATGCAAGAGCCCAGTGCGGGGATGAGGAGAGGTGCTCTCTTTTGAGATGTTTTTGCCTCAGGGTAAATGTGCTCACCGGAGAAAGACAGACAGACACAGAGAGAGGGAAAGTGAGAAATCCCCCCCAGGGGGAATGACTAGCAGCAATCCCTTCTCTGTTCTCCTGAGATCTTGGGCATACACATACATGTGCCTGAAGTGACTTTGAAGCCACCAGGTCCAGGACTTGAACCCTGGGGGACCATGAGGGAGTCCAACAATGAAACTGCTGTGTCATCTGTTGGTCCCAGCTTTTTTTTTTGTTTTTTTTTTTTTTTTTTTTTTTTTTTAGAGATTTTTGCTGTAGGGCACCTGTGCTTGCCAGAGAGTCAGACAGAGAGAAAGTGAGAAATTACACCCCAGGGGCGATGGCCAAGCCTCAGTCCCGTCTCCTCTCTTCTCCTCTTGGGAATCTGGGCATGCACGCACATGCGCCTGGCATGAGCTCCAAACTGCTGCGTCTGAACCCACCCTCCACCACGTGGGAGTCCAGCGAAGTAACCATGATACCGTCTGCTGGTGCCTGTTTTTTAATTGTCAAAGGGCAATTGGACTCACTAGAGAGAGAGAGAAAGCGCCCGCGGTGGGGCGTGGTGCAGCACAGACCCCGGTCCTCCATTTAGCATCCCGGCAGCCCTTGCACACACGCGCGCACGTGCCCGCCCCGCCGGCGTGGTTCTCAAGCGGAGGGCCCGGACCAAACCCCAGGTGCGAACCCCGGGCGCGGTCGGCCCCTGCTCGGAGCGCTCGGCCCATGACCACCACGCTACGGAGGCCCAAGAAAGGTATTCGTGAGAATTTTCATTTAGTTTTTAAAAACATTATTCTCTTAAGAAAACTGAGGTAGAATTGAGGAAAGACATATTCCTGAAAATGTGAAAGTGTGCACTTTGTAGAGTTTTAGGCATTTTTAGGAAATGACGAAAACTTCAGCGTTAGTGCCGCTTTGAAATGAAGGATTAAAACATGGAGATTTTTCTGTTTGTTCTTCCGCTTGTTTCCATTTCCATGAATAGCTTTCTGCTTTGGGGACTTTCTCCCTCTACAGCTTGCTGTGCTGTTACTTGGCTTTTGAATATCGATAACCAAAGATGTTTACTGTCTTTTAGTGGGGAAAAAAAAATCTTGTGTTTATTTCTTAGGTGGTAGGGGATGGTTGCCAACGGACGGTGTTGGAGTCTGTATTTCAAAAAAAGTCACCCTTCTTATTTAGCGTTGTCCTTCATAATACAAATTGCAAATAAGGCAGTGTGCCAGTGCTGAAAAGTAATTTCAATTAAAATTCCCAGGGCTTTTCAGGGGCAACACAGGAGTCAGCCTTAACACAGTGTCCTTGAGTCTGGGCATAGCTTACCTGGAAAGCTTCAAAGAGGGACAAGTAATTTTAGTGTCACCTCCCTTGTTCCCTCTCTTACCCCTCCCTCCACCCCACCAAACCATAAACAAAGCAACAGCTGCCCTCTCTACAAAAAGGAGGTTCCGTGGCCGCTTGTCTGGAAAAGCTGGTAATGGACTATTAAATAGTTGTTTGTGAAATCACTGCACAGTAGTGTTTACTTGTTTCTGCGTTTCTGTGTATCCAGTTCTGGATAAAAAGCAGATCATTTGACAAGGTCCTAGAGTAAACAGTATCTTGATATTCCTCTCTGTCTTCTGGTTCAGGCCTCCGCATTTTCTATTGTTATGCAAATGAGGAAGGGCTGGTTTGGGTGCTGGGGCCAGGTGCTGGTGCGGTGGTGTAGCAAATGGATCCACCTGAGACAGGTTCTAGATTGGTGTCCTCAGGCCTCCCTATGCACACTGGGTACACACACACACACACACACTTAATTCAGGCTGGCTGATACTGGGGATAAATGGTGGCATGAAGACCGCATTGGGGTACCTGTCTGTTCTCATGAAATAAATGAATAAATAAAGAATAATAATAATCCTGCACTGAAGGTTGGAATAGCCTGTCCCAAAGGGACACTGTGCCCCTGTCCTATAGTATCTCCCTTATCACCTTGTTATGGCTTTTGTAAATCATATAACTGGAACCAGCAGATAGCATAATGGTCACATCGCTGGACACTCACATAGTTGACTGTGGTTTGAGTCCTGGACCTAGTGGCTTAAAACTCATGCTTGGCATGAATGTGCATGCCCAAAATCCTGAGAGAATGGAGGAAAAAGAATTGCAATGTGGCCAATTCCTCCCTGTGGGGAGGACAGTTTATTGCTTTCTGTTTCTGTCTCTCTGGTGTGTGGGGGCAAAAGAGATAGCAAAATTCTCTCTTAAAAATTAAATTACACAATTAAGCATCATTCAAATTAAGGCTACTGGTAAAAATCAAGAGTTGCTGTGGAGGCCTGCACGTGGTGTGGTGGCTAAGGTGCTGGACTCTCACATGGCCAACCCTGGCTTAAGTCCTGGTTGTGGCGACTTGAAAATTGTATCAGGTCTGTGAGCATGTGTGGCCGAAATCCCAGGAAGAAAATAGAGGAGAAGGGATTGCAGTGTGGCCATCTCCCTGAGGGGGAGGGGGGTGATTTCTCACTTTCCCTCTCACTGTCTCTCTCTCCAGTGAACACACACCATGCCCTTTGGCAATAACCTACCTAAAAAAAAAGTTGTTTTGGAGGGCAATGGTAAATTGATATCCATCATTAACATTGGAGCTCAATCATCTCTCACACTTATTGAGTGGTTGCTTATGTGCCAGGCACTGTACTAGAGGCTTTATCCTTATCATCTCATTTGCCTTCACAAGAGTGCTGTGAGGCCACTACTGTTATTACATATAGTACACGGGACTTCAGCTATTTGGCAAGTTTTATAGTTGACAGGAAGAGGAGCTATGATTCGAACTGAGATTTTTTCCACCCCTCAGCCTGTGTATTCATCAGACTTGAGTCAATAGAGAAATGGGGTCAAGAGAAAAGAGGGTCCAGGACAATTCAACTTGGATGTGCTGAGTTGGAGTGTGTTGTCTCACCAATGAGCCTGGCTGGAAGAGTGTGGACGAGGGGAGAACTGAGTAGAGGGAAGGTGGACGTCATGAGCTCCTGACCACCCCTGGGGCTTGGAAAGGAAGGACTAGTGGAAATGATCATAAATTGGAAGAGGAGCTGTGGAGGAAGAAGGTTAATTTCACACATTTACCTGTCCCTAAGCTGATGGAATAATTTTCTCTGATGTCCCGTTGATTCTGCAGGACCTGTGTCCTTCTCTAATGGCTGTCGATTATGTCTGGCCATCACGTAGTTTGCAATAATTATATATCCATGAGGTATTGTTATCTTCATAGGTGTTTTTCTTTTTCTTTTTTAAAAAAATTTATCAGAGTGCATATGTGCTTACTAGAGAGAAAGAGAAAGAGAAAGGGAGGGAGAAAGCACCCCCTCCTATGGGGCATGGTCATGCCACAATCCCTTCTCTATTTCTTCCTCCTTTTGGGATTTTGGGCATATATGCCACTGGATCTTGGACTTGAACCTGCAGCTGGCCACATGAGATCTGGCTCCCTTAACTACTCGGCCATGAAGCTGGCCCCCTCAAAGCCACTTTAATTCACTTTTACAGCAGAGGAAACAAGAGGCAGTGGATTGGCCAATCTAAGACTATAATTTACATTGTTTGCTCTGAGCACAGCACCCTTTCCAGCACACACTCTGCAGCTTCCCATTGGTTGCCTTAGAATGCCTTCTAGGCCACTCTCTTTCCTCTCACATGTATGCCCTTCATTTTGGTCTGCTCTTGCTTTAGCCTGTTTCACTTCTAGGAGATGGTACGAGTTATACATGCACTATTCCAATCTCTGTCTGATATTGGGTTCTGTTAATTCATTGTTATGTGGAGAATGCCTTCGTGAAACACAACAAGCTGCAGAAAATATAATTCTCCCTTAATGTATATTTACTAAGTGTATTTATTATTCATCAGGATGTGCATTTTAAAATGTGAGTCTAGATTCCCTCACTTTTAATCCCAAACAAATGTTAAAAGATTTATTTTTATAATAATCCTGGAATGAGAGCAAAGTAAGCCTCCCTAAACACAGCTTGCCAAGTGGTGGATGTTAGCTCTATATATCCACACTAGATGCTCAATCTGTGGTTGCTTGTCATCTCTTACTGTTTCTGGGGGTGATGTACAGAGTGTACGAGCACACCAGGGCCCGTCAATGGTTGCAATTTGTTGGCACTGACTCCAAGGAAGGAGTACTGCAAGGGAAAAATGTTACAGTCCCCTTTCTTTGCAAGATATAGACAGATATAGTGGGAGAAATAAAGGCAGATGGGTGAAGAAAAGGGAATATGTGGGCCAGGAGACAAGAAAATGTACAAAAATAAACTTCAAAGGCCTCAAGGTGCCATCAACATGAAAGTGTCTGAGTAGTAGATGAAGAATTAAACATGAATGCACTAAGCATCCCAGAATGAATAATTCCTACTTTTCTGTTTTGCAAAAGAGAAGGCTTTAGAGAGCAGGTGTCAGCATGAGGTTGGTACAGTGGAAAATTCTTACTAGTAGTGAGAGTCCAGTTTACATAATAGTACAGTGGTATCTCTTCAGCTGACGTTGATGGGAGTCTTTGCTATTAGTGACTTTTGTTCCAGTTCCAAGTGGCATCCATTTCACACATTCCTCAAGATCCAGAATGTAAAAGTTCCCAGGTTATCAGTTTAAGACATTTTCTCATTTGTGAGGATTAGTGAAGGGCTTCATTCCTGCCCAAATAGTATACATATATTTTAAACCCATAATACCTATAATATGTTAATAATCAACATGAGTTAAAATAATTCAATTAAAAAAATAGTCCAGTTTAAAATGCCATTCAATACAAATCTAGGGATATTTTCTTTCTTCAAGACTGAGTACCACTACATCTAAAACACCAGTATGGCAGGTGTTAGTTAGAATTATAAACCCAGTAAGAATAGAAGTTAATGGGGCTGGCAAGTAGTGTGGTGGTTAAGGACGCTGGACTCCCACATGGGTGATCACGGTTTGAGTCCCAGACCTGGTGGCTTGCTTTTTCACTTTCTCCCTCTCTGTCCCTCTCTGGTCAAATTTAAATAAATAAAGAAAGAAAGAAAGCAAGCAAGCAAGCAAGCAAGCTAAATAAAATCTTAAAAAAAAAAAAAAGAATAGAAGTTAATAAGAGAGTGATGCTACAGCTTTATTTAGCAATTATGGATTTTTGAACACATTGAGATAGAGTCAATAAAACCACAGCAGAAATTGATCTCTGTGGTTTTGAACCTACTCTCAAATAAGTGTAGACAAAGGTTGAGAAAAAGGAACCCAATTGTCTAGTAGACAGATGCAGAATCCCACATTCTGTTATGATGAATTATTCAAATATAGTTTCAATGTAGAGAAATATTTGGCGAAATACTTGTATCACATTAAAACTTTCTGGTGTTCAGAGGAAATGGTTGTAACCTACATTTCAAAACTAATTCCATCCTGTTTATAGTGGTAAACCAGTTAGATAATGATTAAGATTGAAGAGTCATATTTAACCAAGAATCAGTTTACCCATGTAGTATAACAATTTTAAAAATAAATAAAATAATCTTAATGATATCATGGAAAATAGCCATTTTCTAAAATTAAAAGAAAAAAAATGATAGCAAATTAAATAAACTATTTGTATTAAATAAACTATTTGTATTACGGTTACTCTTTGGCCTTTGTCTTGAACCTCTCTGTTCAATGCCACTGTTCTTTCTTTTCTGGAAGAGTTCCCATTGGCCATTGCCTTACAAGTTAGCTCAACTGATGGGGAACAAAATCATTCTCCTCACTGTGAGATACTAAGTGAAGTGACCTCTAAATTCTTGCCATAGTCCTTAGCATTTGATAAATGAATTAAATAGAAACAATTGGGTATCTTCTGCTGAACTTGATGCCTGTAATAAATGTCACTGGTGTCATACAAAACAATTTATAAAGTAGTTTGAAAATAATTGTTTCAACTACAGAGCAGGCAGTGAGAGACAAATGGGAAGGATTTGTGAGAGGGCATTTCTATAATGACATCATAAGAGCCAAGAGGCTTTCAGTGACAATTCTATTCATGCCAAGCAAGAGCAGGACAAAACAAGGTAGCCAGCGTGTTATTTTTATCTTTGTTTGTTATTTTTACCCTTTCTTAAGTGATTGGAGAAATAAGAGTGGTGGTGGGGAGACTTCAAATCAGCTTAAGCATTAGTTTACTTGTGTGAATTTGCATTACCTCCTACTAAGTTTCATGAAATCCCTTTGCTGGCCATAAGAACAGACAGGTACAAGATTACCCGGATTTTATAGTCCTGTGTCTCAAAATATTGGGGATGTGAAAATAACAATGGTTAGCATTGCATGCTGTACAGAACAGGCTTTACATTTTTAGTAAAATTTCCAAATGAGCCTTGTATCCCTGAAATGTTGTCAAAGGTTATGTTTAGTTCATGAGGCAGGCGCAAAACAATGAAGTTTTCTCTCATACAAATTCCTAAGATGAGAAAAAATTAAAAAAGCAAATTAAGTGGAGAGAAGTAAATGAGACATTATTTCTCCAAAGTTGTTTTATTGCCTGCCAGGAAAATATCTTCAGGAGATGGACTGAAAAGGTAAAGACTTCTGTAGTGAGCATCTGAGCCACAGCAGATTTGTGGGTATTATTGGCTTTTTCAGACATCAAAAGCAAACTGTGTGAAAGATGATGGAGGTGCTCAAACAGGAATGGGGAATGAAAATGAGCAAATAGAAGATCATGCTCAATAAAAACACAAAATGATCATCAGAATAAATGAGACTATCAGTGCACAAGTAGAAGAAAATCAACTAGGAACATCTGTTCAGGTGAGGCTGAAATTAAGAGAATAATCAGGCTCTGGTCGTGTGCATTTGGAAAAAGTCTATGAACGGTATGATGAGTAGCATGTCTTCCTTCGCCCTTGTGGGATGCTCGTATACTAACTTTGTACTTCCGTTAAAATTGAGTTGAGTGGCTGTGGATGTCATACCTTTCAAGAAGCAGAGGTTTGTAGCAAAGATGCAGTCAAACGTGCACTGCAGATTAAAGAAATTTTAATGGCGAAATAAAAATTTCTCAGAGAAATATGCAAAGATACATTAGTTCTGAAAAAAAAATCTAAGTAAGTCTTTGTATGAATGAAATTACAGTTATATCAGGACACAGAAATGGAAACTATGTATAACACAGAGATTATACAAATCCATATGGATCCCTGGTTCTGGAAAAGATAGGATACACACATTTCTTCCTATTCCTCCTGCTAAATTCTGGACGTTACACATAGAATATTGGGTCATCAGAAGAGTTGCGTCGTATTTTTTTCTGTTTTTCTGTGAAAACATGTATCATAACTTTGCTGACAACACAATGAACACAAGAAAACTGTGAAGATGCAGAGAGGAATGCAGACAAGTTAGAGACTTTGGGACCCAAAGAACATATCAGTGAGTTTCCCGGGTTTCCTTTTTGCCACATGTGTCCCAGAAGCCAACAACCTGAAAATGTCACAAGTGCAGAAAACAAGCCAACTAATAAAAAGCTCTGTTAAACCCTTTTGGTTAAAGAAACCAAAGGCCCAGAAAGGGGTCATCATAGTAAAATAGAAGACTTTTAGAATTTTTTGGAAAATTAGCCCTCTATCTAAACACCATAGAAAATAATAAGTAGTGAGGAGCCTGGTCTTCTGCCTTTTTTTTTTTTTTTTTTTTTTTTTTTTTTTTTTTTTTTTTTCACCAGCGAGAGACACAGAGGGTGTGAGAAAGCAAGCCACCAGGTCTGGGACTCAAACTGTGGTCAACCTTTTGGGAGTCCAGTGCATTAACCATCACACCCCCTGCCAGCCCTGGTCTTCCACTCTTAACTGGGAATAATGGGGTGCTTTTCCCACTCCTTGCTGGGGTTGTGTCAGAAAAGGCAAGGGGGAAATTAGGACTTCAACTTCCTCCCACAGGTCATAAGCCACTTTCTTCCCACTGGAGGGGTGAATGGAGGCCTAGTAGAGCCTGAGTTTCTACCTCTACTTAGCAAAAATGAGACAGCACGTTTTTTTCCTGTAGTATTGTGCTAGAGAAAACTTACTGAAATAGGAGATCTAAATATGATCCAAAGTTTAGTAAGATAAAATCTATAATGTTCAGAATATAATTAAAGCACTTTCATACCAAGAACCAGGCAAAGCTCAATTTGAGTAACAGGCAATGAACAAAAGACAATACCAAGATGGCATAGATGTTGGAATTATTTGAGAGGGATTTTCATGCAACCATCATAAAATATGTTAGACCTAACCTCAATGACTTAGTCAGTAGCATACTAAACTGAAATGCAGGAAGTCATATGGCCAACCGTGGGTTCAGATCCCTATACCCTGAAACACATCCAGGGCAAATGTGTCTGTCCAAAATCCTCACAAGCTGGAAGGCTAGTTGGAAAGGGCGTCATAGCATGATCAGAAACTGCTGAGGTGTCTCTCTCTCTCTCTCTGTCTCATGCACGTGCATGCAGTCTCTATCATGAATAAAATAAAAATGCTTCAGTGAACAATTATGAACACACAGAAAACAAATTATAAAATAAAAAGTATTGGCAAATAAATAGAAGATATAAAAAGGAACCAAATGTAAATGTTAGAGCTGGAAAATACAGTAAATAAAATGTAAAAGACATCGGATAGGCTCAGTAATGGAATGGAGGGGGCTGAGGGAAGAATTGGTGAACTTGAAAACAGTACATTCGAGATTATCCAATTTACATAACAGAGAGAAAACATGACAGGGCTTCAAAAAGTTCACAGGAAAGTGGACTTAAAAGTGCAAATTTATTTTGGTGCAAAATATTTTTGAAATCTATGCCTAAATTTTTTGGTAATATGCATTTTCCTTGAACTTTTGGAAGGCCCCCTCATAGATTAAAAAATTACACACAGAGCCTAAGGGGCTATGGAACTATAACAAAAGATGAAATAATCATATTAATCAAGTACCAGCAGGAGGGGAAGAAAAGGAGTGGGACCCTAAAATTGCTCAAAGAAATATAGTTGAAAATTTCTTAAGTTTGGAAAAAGACAAACCTACAAAAATCTGTAAAAGGCAGTTTAAAGGAGCTGAGCTAGGACTAGCCTTGTAGCCTCATGTTAAGGGAGCTGAATGGCTGATTATGATTTGAATCCCAGTCCTAGGGCCATGGCATATGCCAGGCACATATGTGTGTGTATGATTGCATGTGTATGCTCCAAATCCCAACAGGATAGAGAAACAGAGGAGAAGGGGTTGTGGTGTGACCATGTACCATTGAGGGGATGCTTTCTCCTTCTTTCTCTGGTGAGCACGTGTGTCCACTGTTCATTTTTTTTTTTAAAGCTAAACTAATCAGAAGTAGGAAAAAATCTAAAGATATCTATATCAATACATATCAGAGGAGACAATCTCAATGAGCCGACCACTTTAACGCTCATGAAATTGCGGGAGCACATGCAGAATATCTATCAGGGCCTTAAGAAGCTGGAAATACTAACTGCTTTAACAGGCAAGTTTCTGCATTGCATTATCTTTTTTTTCTTCCCAGTTGTTAATCCTGTGAAATGGCACATAATCCATGTTGATCACATTTACACAAATCAATGTATTTTAATGACTTTTTAAATAAAAAGGGCCTAAGTTAAAAAAAAAGGCAAAAAAGTCAAATAAATCATATTAAATTACTATCTGTTTCCTACTACATGAGAGCCATTGTGATTGTTCTCACTCAGATGTTCAGTCTGTCATTTTGGGGAGAATATGTGTGTTACTAGGTTAGAAAGTGACTATTGGATGCACTTTGTCCAAGAAACTTCAATGATGTGAAGAAGGAAGTTAGAAAGAAAAGAGAAACTAAAATTTCAATTTGATCCAGCTGGGTAGTTGTACATTTTTACTAATGAATATAATTAATTGCTGTTGGGAAAGCCATTTTTAGTTTAAAAAAAATTGCCAGAGGGCATGAGGACTTACAGAGAGAGAGGGAAATAGAGAGAAAGAGAAAGGAAAAGCCAGAAAGTGCCTCCCCATAGAGGACAGTCACATTGTAATTCCTTCTCCTCCATCTCTCCTTTCAGGATGTTGTGCTCTGTATGCACACCTGTGTTTTTCAGGATGCCAGGTCCACGACTCAGACTGTGTAGTTGGCCATGTGGGATCCAGCCACCTTAACCATGTGTCACTAGCTGGCCCAGATAGCTTTTTTCTTCTCTTCTCTTCTCTTCTCTTCTCTTCTCTTCTCTTCTCTTCTCTTCTCTTCTCTTCTCTTCTCTTCTCTTCTCTTCCTTCCTTTTCCTTTTCCTTTTCCTCTTTCTTTCTCTTTCTTTCTTTCTTTCTTTCTTTCTTTCTTTCTTTCTTTCTTTCTTTCTTTCTTTCTTTCTTTCTTTCTTTCTTTCTTTCTTCTTCTTCTTCTTCTTCTTCTTCTTCTTCTTCTTCTTCTTCTTCTTCTTCTCTCTCTCTCTCTCTCTCTCTCTCTCTCTTTCTCTCTCTCTCTCTGTTAATTGCCAGAGGACACTTATACTCATTAGAGAGAGACAGAGATAGAGAAAAAGCACTACCTGTCCTGCAGATCACAGTCTCTTGGTAATCACTTGTTCTTTTCCATTCCTTCGGGATTTGGAGCATGGCACACATGTGTACCCTAGCATATTTTTCAAGCTGCTGGGACCAGGATTTGAACTGCATAATCTGCCATGTGGGATCCAATCCCCTTAACCACTAGGCTATGAGCCAGTTCTGGAAAATCTTTATGAAAAGAAGGAACATGCATCTCTGAAAAAAAAACCACTTTTAAAGCTATTACATCACAGGCATGCCATCAATATTTGGCAAATGAATGCATGAAGTACAGGATGAAATACTTTGATGTAAGAATTTCTTTTTTTTTTTTTGGTGGCAATTTTGACAATTGTGAAGAGCAGACTTCTCAACTGTATGAGTAATTTTAAATTTTGTGCCCTGTGTTTAAATGTGTCTTTTAAAGAAAACTTTTCTTACCTCAAGGTCATAGGCATACTTGTCTATATTTTCTTTTAGTTGAATGTTTTGATAACATAAATACCCAGTTTCAGAATGAATCTTAACTATCAGCCTTGGAAGACCTTCATAGGCCTTTCAGACTCTCACACTGAGGTCATGTCTTTGAGTGAGCACGTCCTCAGTATCAGTGTGGTTTTCTCAAGCCACAAGTGCAGCGAATAATTGCACTGATGCTGACTTACACTGTGGAGTGTGGAGTTTTCTATGGCTTTCTGAAGAGCACTAAATTTGTGGTCCATCAGTAGATATTGCTCAAAACAACATATGAAATAAAGGGATTTTAAAAATTAAGCCCACATATTAATGTAGAAATGATCACCTTTAATACTAACGGCATGACCATATATTAGAGGCCCTTAGATACTTAAAAAACAAAAACCTCACATATTTATTTTTCTCACCATAGCAGTATATCCTCACTTCAAGAGTGAGTCCAGATATGGTTGGAGGATGGGAGTGAGGAGTGGAATCACATTTTCACTTTGTAAAATCCCCAGGTGATTTGGAGTTATTTCTGTTTTCTCCCCACCAACTTCCTCTCCAATCTTGAGAATCACAGGTTTAGTGTGCCAATGCGCATGTGATTCTCTGACTTAGAAGCAGATTCCCAAGCTCTTGTGAGTACTAGACTCTGATTTCATGTGGTGCTGGGCCCAGGATTCTAAAAACATGCTTTTACCATTGACAAAGTGCTTGCTTATATCTGAGTTTATTTGATCCTCTTGCTGTCCCTGTGATTGGAGCCTTTTTATCCCCATATGAAAAACAAG